TTACAACGCATTTTTTCTTAAGTTTGAGTTCCCAATTACTAACATCATTCAACACATAATTACAACTACGCCTACGGATCTATAATGTACTTAGTAAAGACTGTTTATTCTTAATTTTACTTAATAATAAAATAGTTAGCGTACATAGCCCCACTGCAGAATACAGGCCTCTTCTTACAATGCGAGAGGTAGGGCTGTGGTTCGTACACATCATTAAATTGGTTTTCAAATATGTGTAGGTTTCCTAACGATGTTTTTCTTCACAGAAAAGTTCATGCAAATTTGAGTTTCATTTTGCACATAAATTTGGTGAAACTCGTGTAAGGTGCAAGCCCGGATTCGAAATCATGACACTCTGTTAGAGAGGCGGTATATCAAACCATTAGGCCTTTAAACCATTAGACCCCGGGGCTTTTAAATTTATTTAATTTTAATTTAAATTTAATTTGTCAGACGTGACATATTTTAAACCCCTCAGGGGTTTAATTGTTATACTAACTGCGTATCTCAATGTGTTATAAGGTAGGAAATAACAAATAATTAAAAGAAAATAAAGTGTAGGCATCTATTTACATACCTAGTGCAAAAACATTTCTTTTTTTATGATATCAAGCAACGGGATAAACAAGTCGTGCGCATGGTGGTAAGCGACACGCCTGTCCATAGCAGTTGCGGTGCTACTGCTTCAAATCGCAAAGATCTCAGGAGCACTGCCACTGCGCTTGACACCGTGAGATATAAAGTTACAAGTTCCATATGCCTGTAATGTCACCACCACCCTTACGGAAATAGGTAAGGTGGCAGTGCGTCCATAGACTCTGTTAGAAAGAACTCTACTGCTACTCAGACTTATTAACGTTCAACTAACTATATTGATGATGAATATATATTGTTAATGAAACTTTGAGTGTTTTTTTTTTAATTTAAGAGTCAATAGTACAGGGTCAAGAGCACGTCAAGCTTAACACTTAAGATTTATATCCTTTATGCTGCTTACGATATGAGCAGTCCAAAGTATAAAGTGTCAAGCTTCACGTGCTCTTTACTGTACCTCAGCTTGAATTAAGATTTTTCCCTTACTAATACGGTTCATTTTGCTTCAGTCGACTGGCGGAGACCTGGCTTTATTTCAGAATTTATTTTGTTACAAACGGAATTAAAGCTATTTGAAAAATGTAAATGTAAAAAATGTAAAAATGTATATCGTATACTATACGCGTTCTATTTAGTTTAGTTGATATTAAAAAAGTCATTGGTATAATATATAAAGTATCTATTAAATGCAGCAGTTTTCTTCTAAAATTTCGGTGTAAATTTATGTTTTTTAAAAATTTTTAGGAACGTGTTTCCACACCTTATAGCAATCAGTGTGTATGAATGAACTTTACTATATATTTTTCCCAAAGTGATTGATTCTACCTTTTCACTATTGTACGGAATCAACCAAAGCCATTTGATGTTGTATAGACTCTTAATCAAGTGAAACGGCAATCATCGCGAACTTTATGATATCATCAGCTATATTTTGCTCTGATTCACCGCCTAATTAAGATTCTGCGCCAAGTCAAATGTTACTGGAGCAGCCTAGGAATTTATTCATCGCAATGAAATTACCTTTTTGTGTCACTTGTTGAAGAAGTACATTTTTATTTGACCTTATACATTTTAAAACATCTGCTTCATTTGACATGCAAACGACGTAAATAAAAAAAAATAGAAATTACCTTTATAACACAAAAAACACAATAATAGAAAACAGAGAAAGAATAACTGAAAAATAGTCCATTATAATAAATCAGTAATAAAATGCATACCGAAAGGATGAGGTGGAAAGCATGACTCAGGATCTGTTAGGATTATGCTACGTAGAAGATTGTAACTACTCATAAACCATTTTGAGATAAAATGAAGCAAGTATTAAATTCTAAATAAGTAGAAATTGAAGGTATATATATATATTTTCTAATTTGATTGAAGTAACATCAATCAGTTCCCCTATTTTTAGATATACTGATATGTAGCCCAGTCTATATATAAATAAAAAAGTGTTGAGCAGTATAAATAAGATATTTCAAATTTATCTAAACTATTTAATATTTTAAAACGCATAAGAAAGCGAGAGACTTAAACCTCAAGGGAAGTACTGCCATCTTAACTATTTCTGTCGTCCAGCAGTAATGTAAGCATTACTGTGTTCTGGACCCCGATTCAGAACTCTTCGATATTTTAACTGAATCCGTACGATTGAATATCGTTCTCGAATCGAAGGGAGTTTTCCGAGCTATTCAAAACATTCGATTTAAACGAGTTAGTCGATGAAATACATTATAAGAAATATGAAAATCCGTTTATTTAAATTTTTTAAGACTTAAAATATAGGAATGCATTAGTCTTGCATTAAAATAAATTAGTAAAATATAACAAAATTCAGATTTTATTTAAAATAATAAGAGATTTCCATATTACATTCTTGCTTTGTAAACAATAGGACGTTCGGTAACTTTCATTCGATAACTGTGTTCTGAATAATGTTTGTAGCCTTTGCCGGTCGAGAAGTTATTCCGGTTTGGTGTTGAATACGACAGTTTGACGTTCGATTCGGGTGTTATGAATAAAAATTAAAAGAAAACGTACGATATGAAATCGAATCGGTCGACAACTGAGTTATCGGAAGGTTCAGAATCCACGCCCTGATTTTGAAGGGTAAGGGTGTAGCTGATTACAGACACATGGAGCTTATCAATTTATGTCTCAAGGTGACGGGCACAGTGGCAGTGCCCCTCATATCTTTATGGTTTAAAACTGAGTGGCACTGTAACTGTCATTGACTACCAGACGCACGACTTGTTCGTCCCGTCACTTGATATCATGAAAAAATACCTTTCTGTAGGGGGCTGACAATAATTAACCTCTCCTGTCAATGTACATTTATGAGTCCTGTGTTTTTGTTAACAAAATTCAGGTAACTTGAATTTAGTCAAAATTGGATATCCTAGAAACACCAGGAATAAATTAGAAATGTGACCCACACAATGCTCTAATTTGGAATTTTACAATAACCGGTAATTGTTAACGCCTAGATTATAGTTAAGTTTTCTTTCTTTTTAACCGACTTTAAAAAAAGGAGGAGGGATTTTTGTTACGTATCTTACGCGATAACTCCATTTGTGAACAGTTCTTGATGATTGTTTTTTATTGGAAAGAGTGTACCTTAGTATTGGTCCCATTAAAATTGAAAATGAAAGCAGGAAATATTTCGACTCTAAGCGTGGCAAACTAGGGGATGAATCCGGCTTCGCGCATTTTCTGGTAGTCGATTTCAATAGAACTTGGCAAATACGTGTAATTCCACGAACTTTTAAAGTATTTTTTTACAAAAAAGTTACTATTATCTTATTAAGATCATACCTATTCACTTCCCCCATCTATCTAATAAAAACCTTGACGATCTCGTAATAAAACACAAATATTCGTTAACGACCAGAAATCATCACCTTCACGCACTTTTATAGCCAAATAATGACCCATTTCTATCATAATTCAGTATTATATAGTCTGTGGGTGTGGCTGATAGATAGTTTACCTTATAGGCGATCAATATTTGTACTGTACCACTGTTAATTAGAATACGTTTTCCTGTTTTCCGATGTTGACATATTATCACTCAGTATAGAATTGCATGGAAAATTTTAATGGAATACTTAAGTTTTGTACATTGCTGCGAGAGCAATAAATCTCCGTGCTGTGACAAACAACAAATGAACTCAGAAAGAGAATTCAAGTTCCTCATACAAAAAGAAATCTCCTAGGTACCATTATTTAAAAAGAGTTTAATGTGTTTGCAATGGTTTTTGTTTCTCTTTTTTTTATTCAGTTATTTATTACTACATAGTATAGGACGGGTATAGTAATTTATGTTTATTTTTTTTGACGTCAAACTATATTTTCATTAAAAAAGAAACCAAACAACACAAAACACACAGGATACGCAGAAGATACAAGATCTTATGTCTAAAAATAGTATTCCTTTTCACTATTTTTTTACCTCTTTTTTTATATATAAATTATAATTCTTATTAATCTCCTGTCCTTCAGATTGTTATCCCTATCTACTTACCCGAGAGATAGGGTTTTCCAGAGAGACTACGGGCTCAACGGCAAGTCAAGGGTATAGCGGGCGTCCGGCCCAAGCCAGTAATATGCCTTCACGGGCGTCTCTGGTGGACCCAGCCATGGCTATGGACGCGCTGGGGTTTGTAGTGAGCTGCAAAGACCGACATGTTTGTTTGCCCCAGTTGCATGTGGCCGGGGTGTCTGTCTCGTGCGCAGCTAGCGCGTCTTAGTAGCGGTCTAGTTGAGGACCTGAAGCGAGGAGACGCGCAGGGCACGTGAGTTGCCCTTTAAGTTAGAAGCTATGTCCGGACACTGCGACTGGCATCTCCGGTACTAGCCCGGAGAGCTAGTAGAGGATAAACTATCCTGCGGTCCCTCCAGCCGCTTAGGTTATTGGGAACTAGAGAGATGTTCATTGTTCGGCATCGGAAAATGAGCGTGTCGTACAGCTCCGCGCTACCAATGAGTAGGTTTGGTAGAGGACTTTAGAGTCGACGGCTTAGCGGTGGCAACCGCTAGTTGTGCAATGCGCAGTGGGAAGTGAGCGTGCTTACAGCTCCGATACCTATCTGGAAAATAGGGTGGGTACTGTACGTGCACCCGGGGCGGCTCACCCGAGGCACTAGCCTCTCGAGAACCGGATGAAGTCAAGTGACAGAGGTCTGTAACAACCCTGTACACTGGCTGATCTGGGGTGAGAACCTGAAGCAAAGCTCCTGTGCGCGCACAGGTTATAGTGCCCTTATCGTATACCCTAAGGGTCGGTAGGGAGGGTAACTATAATCAAAACTAATGTAGAAAGATTGTGGCTGTCCTTCACGTCGTTCGTCGTTATGGACACCATAAAAATCTTTCGACTATTCCTAACAATTTTTTTTTGTTACCAGGAGCACATCAACTTGGTTGGGTTCGACGAGAACCTGGGCCCGGTGGTGATGTCACTGAAGAACGAACACGTAGCCGGACAGGATCACACGAGGATACTGCTCCGACTCCGCACAAATACTATGCATGGACTCATTCCCACCACTAGTGAGTTTACTGTTTGTTTCTGCATTCCTAGAACAAATTGTATGTTTTATGAGCAAATAGCACGCGTTTTTTCCTACTTTTTTTGTTTCTTTTTTGATGTAATTGTACAATTTCAAACTGTTGTTCCAGGATCGAGCATAATGCCATCTCCGCTAAAAATGGCAAGAATGTTGAACGAACAAGTGAACGTCGATTTCATGGCAGTAATGTGTTTAAACGCGTCGTCACTGATCGCAGCCTTCGATGAGCACGTTTTAGTGAATACGTTCAAATTCGGTGTCCTATATCAAAAATATGGACAAACCACCGAAGAAGAATTATTTGGAAACAACGAAACGTCGCCCGCGTTCGACGAGTTCCTGGAAATGTTGGGACAGAAGATCAAATTGAAGGATCATAAAGGTACAGTGTCTGAAAATGTAAATTATTATTGATACCAAGGTCATACAAATAAACATTCCTTCTATCCATCTGGACCCGAACCAGAGTCTGTTGCCTCAACGTGGCTACGTATAACAAACTCTTTAGTTAGAGTATTTTCACAACAAATAGATAAATATCATGTATAAACATCCTGATATTCAATAACAATTAAAATTATAATGTTATTTATGATTTTATTAAGTAGCTTTTGGATAGTATCGCACATATTTATTACATAATTAAAAAATACATATGCAATATTATCACAGCCATAACTAATGTTTAAGTCGTATTTAAGACTACAATCAAATATCAATCAAGTACTACAGAAAGACGACCTCGGTGTCTAATGATTTGCACTGTAGGCACTGGATGAGGAGGGAACCTCCTCAGGTTCGAGTGATTGATTTTTTAATTATTTCCGGTCTAGGTATTCTGGGGAGATACTGCCCCAGAGTGAATCCCGTTGCTCTAGTACAGGGAATTCCTTAGTTTAAGACCCGGTGTTTGCTGTGGTTATCTGGCGTAAAAAAATTTAGAATTCCAACCACACTTTAACACCAAAAAGTTTCAAAATCTTAATAATAATACTTTGAAAACGAAACGAGTTTTCAGAACCAAATAGCGTACTTTTTTTTTCAAACAAAATAACGTGGTGGTTTGCATTAATATTGTTTGATGACTTTTCCATCACAGTCAGACGTGGTCAAGGGATTTGTAAAGGGCCCGAAATGTTGGTTTGTTTGAAAAAAACAAATTCTATATACATTATATATATACGCAATTTAGATCCGAAAAAATAAAATCTAAGAACTCAATATTTACAACTTATTTTCACAGGATACCGTGGTGGTCTAGACATTATGAACGGGCACACAGGCACAGAGGCCGTTTACGAACGCTTCTTCGACAGAGAGATCATGTTTCACGTAGCTCCACTGCTACCACATACATCTGGAGATGCTCAACAGCTACAGAGGAAGAGACATGTTGGAAACGATATTGTGGCTATAGTTTTTCAGGTAAGTTTATCTAATGGCACCAGTACATTTAATCTACGTAATCGTTTATTGTGTCAAATTGGTTATCACAACAGTTTTGCTATTGTTTTAACAATTAATATGCCCAAGAACGTGCCCTACAAAATGTTCTTAACCTGTATGATTTTATTTTACGTGATTAATTTACAAGAAATTGCCCGTCTCTAATTTATCTCTACCTAGGATACATTTACATTATTGCGGAATGGAATGGAAGTGAATTTGTATAACGAATTGTACAATAGCATAATGTACTTTATGTCATAAGTCTAATGTAGAAATTAGATACAATACTATTAAGGATCAGAAGCAAAGATATTTAAAAAAAGAGTACAATAATCAACCTAAGTTTATTTTACTCGATTTATAAATTAAATAATTTATTTATCACAAACAACATAACTGTTAAGTCTATCAGATTAAGTCCGATACATAATAAGCACCGCGCAATAGTGTGTGTCCCTTCTTCCGTCTGATACTCTGGCTGCAGTTCAGAGTGGGGTAGAGTGGGAAATCTCGCCACCTCTAACCCCTCCTGAGCTTCCAGCTAATAATAATACGATAGCTGCGGGAGTTCCGCCGGAAGGCGAGCACCGGTTTTTTGACTCGTATCTAGTTTGTGCGTTACGCAATTGACATAGAGTTCATTACGCTATGGTTACAACAATTCGCTTCCATTCCATTCCGCAGTAAATTGAGCTTTATTTTGCGAAGAGTTAAAAACAACTAGTTGTTTATTACCTAAAAGTTCGCTGAAAACACGAATACCATTGTCTAAATCGCGATCTTTCACACAATCAACTTTATGCATCAAATCGTGCATTACGGTTACAGGAAAAGGCGACTCCCTTCACGCCAGACATGATTGCCTCGCACTTCCTTCACACATTCATCGTGGTCACGCCTCTAGAAACGGTCGGCGGGGAGACCAGGTAATATATTTATTACATAAAGTTACTTAGAATATTTTTTCTAATTGATTACCATTAAATTTCACAATATGAAATTTGGGAAATCGATTTTGAATATAGTTCATTCGTATTTTTGTAGCACAATTCTTCTATTAATTGATATTATAGAATAGTTTTTCTGAATATAATTTTATTGTCTTTTTCTTTCTTATTATTAACAAAATAAGAGCACATTTTACATTCATTTCATTTGATGAAAAATGACGATAAAGTGACTGGAGCACGCACACCTAAACGCCTAAAAGGCACAACTTAGAGTCTAGCGAAAATTTATATATATCCAATTCTTTTTCTTACAACTCTTTTTACGGTAAAAGTGTTTTTTAAAGTGTTTTGACTACTTAATAGATACCCGATATTTTAATAGATACCCGAAACGACAAGTGTCGATTAAAATCTATTCAAATATTAGAAATATTAAAATATGCATAATTAATTTGTTTGAAACAATAATGAGGAAGTACACATTGCAGACAGAGATTACTGATAGGAGTTGAACGACCTTTTGTAGTTTACTCTGTTGAAAAATATCGTTGGTATTTTATAGAAGGGCGAAAGCTCCATTTCGAAATATTTTTCAGCGGAGCATGTTTTAGGTTTTAACGGCTGTTTTAAAATGTTCACGTCCTGTTTTAAATGTAATTTTATAACTTAAACTTAATTAAAACCAAAATTGAATGAAAAAAAAACGTCGATATAGCTCTAGCGCTTTAGCCTTTTTTACTAAACACCGACGTCTATTATTACAATCCAAACGTTACGAAACAAAAATGTGTTCCCACAAAGCATATACCTATCTAAAGTATTTCTGTACATCTTCCGCATTAAGTATTCCAGTGGTATGCTCTCAATAAACAGAGTAAATCTTTTGTATTTCTCAGTTTGACTGTGCTGCCGTCTGTTTTCTATTACTTATTTTCCATTTGTCAAGTGACTTGTTTAACATAAAGTTTGTGTAACTTTTGCAATGGCCATGGCGCACAGAAGTATTATTTGCATTAAGAAGCTGGGAAAATGGCTTGGAAAGAGGCAATAAGAATTTTCCTAGCCATTTATATGCTAATGAATCGCAACTGTGTAATTAGAAAGCTTTTAAAGGTACGTAGTGTAGCGCTGAATGAGCGGAGTAACGGTTTTTTTTTTGTTTTATACGTTGAAACCAATGCCTTCACTAATCTTGTCAAATTTAAACTTATTTTCAGAAATTTTGATGGCCGTTTTCCCCAAAATTTATTTTTTCGTATAGTGACAGCATTGGTTTCAATGTGAGATAATAATTTCTCCAATTTCAAAAACCTACTTTCCTACTGTAAGCAAAGTTGATAATATATTACCAATAAATAATCCTCAACACATAAAACAATACAAAAAACAATCGGGTAAGTTTTCTGAAGTATTTTTAATTATTAAAAAAAATATTTAAATAAACATTTAGAAGTCCCTAAAACTATATTTCAGTGAAAAAAAAAACCGCACTTCATGTGAACTCAGCACGCGTGATGTCATTGTTAGGTAAACTAAGTGGACAATATGCACTTATCATTTGCGAGAATTTCACGTATTGATTGACTACTTATACTCAATCTAGAATGTTTACAGTTTTAGTTCAATATTATTAAGTGCAAAAGAAAAACACAAATAATACACGAACGTTGAAAACGGTAATGTTTCTTTTTTTACCAGCAACATCATGAGGTTGGTTTTTGTTTCAAATTTTATTCGTTGATTTAAAAATACAAATTCTTATTATCTTTGAAAAATATTGATTGAATTATCGTTTTTATTAGACAAATATAATTTTTAAGCAAATTTCAGGTTTTCTCTGTTCATTGTAAGCCGATAGTCACGCTAAACTTAGCAAGTGTACTTAATTGGGTGATGTAGTCGTTAAACGATCAAAGACCTTCGCTAATCTGAAATTGGGACTATCATGCTTCTCTGAGTTTATTGGAGTTTTATTAAGAAAATATGTCTCTAAAGATAAGATATCGAGGTGTATAAACTGATTTTTAAATATATACCTATTTCGGAAAATTACATACACACGTATTTCCGACTCGTTTGCGACCAATACTAAATTTCATTATGAAAATAATATTTAAAACCTTAAACAATAAGCAAAGTATGCACTTTTTAGGGTATTCTATACATGATCTGTGTAAGTCGATACCAACGCTTTAGCTGTTTCAATCGTAAAACTGCACTTTCAGATTGAAGGGTAGAGAGAGTACTATCCCAGGTATAGGAGACTAAAGATCTTATTTGCCTCAGAGCGACGGGCGCAGTGCAGTGCCCCCCAGATCTCTGTGATTTAAAACTCTGAGTGGCACTGCAACTGCTATGGACAAGCGTGTCGCTTAGCACCAGACGCACGACTTTTCGTGCAGACACTTGGTATCATAAAAAACATCCTTATGCCTAAATACAGTGGTAGCCACGTGCTCCGGATAGTATACCATAAAAACCTTACCAATTTCATTTCTTCTTTCCAGGTACAAGGTGGCCGTCACCGCGCGTAAGGACGTACCATTTTTCGGGCCGACTCTCCCGCAGCCGTCCGTATTCAAAAAAGGCTCTGAATTCAAAGAATTTCTTCTAACAAAACTTATCAACGCAGAAAATGCATGTTACAAAGCTCAAAAATTCGCCCAGCTCGAGCTACGAACCAGAGCGTCGCTGTTACAAAATTTGGCTGAAGACTTAAAGAATAAGACCTTGGAATTTCTTGGTACTGGAGTTAGAATAGAGCCTGGGGCGGTTTCGCCTCAACCGGATGGCACACCGAAGCAAGACGGTCCTGGTGCAAGGTTTATTGATACCGTAAAGAAGGCACTCATTTCTAAAGTGAGGTTGGTATTGTACAATTGTTAATAAGATTGCGACGCGCGCGGAACATGACCTTCCCTGCATAAACTTGCAAAAGTTTTTACACATTTTTTTCATCAGGCTATAATGTTCTACGACAAACATAAATATAAATTACGCACCAATGATATAATACAAACATAAATAATTATAATTTTGAAGCAGTAGAGCTCCTTGTGAAGGAGATTTTCCAGAGAAGTACTGCGGTCTTACATATTTCTGCCGCCAAGCAGTATTGAAAGCATTACTGCGTTTCGGTTTTGAAGGATAAGGGTGGGTGAAATTACAGGCACATGGGACTTCTCTGCATAAGTGTCAGGGTAACAGGCGCAGTGACAATTTCAAAATTTCATTTACGACGTAAAAAGAATTAAGACGTAAAAAACGTTGTAATAAACTACTTTCCATCGTTTCTGTTATTCATTTTTTCGAAATATATAATATCTTTGCACCTTACACATATATTGCAAGGTGCAAAGATTTTGAAGATTGTGCTTTCTTCATACTTGCCAAGTAGGTGTTATCACAATACACGTTTATTCGATGGGGCCGTCGTTATATAAGCAACAATAAAAATTTTGTGACATTTTGTCACTATGTTATTTTGAATATTAATTTTGTCTATAGATATAAAACTACGTTTTAACTTATGTTTCAACTTTATATAGTCTTACATACCGTAGACAGATTTCTTCTATGTTTGGTTTTTAGTGGTTCCTAACCAAAATAATTGTTTTTTTTTTCAGGTCACCAAGCGTTGATACGAATCTCTCAGGCGATAGTAACAAAAACCCCATTAAAAGTTGCAAAGTTCTACATGAAACTCCTACTCCTAATGTAAGTAATAACTTTAGTAACATTTCTTACGTATTTGCCAATGCTTCACACTTCTACGGGTAGTTCTAATATGTATGGATCTTTACAAGTTTACAGTGACTGTTCTATTTTTTTAGTTCTCAAAGCTTTTATGCCCGTTCGTATGAGTTAAATTTATGCTGAAAGTTATTTTCATAAACATAAATTCTGAGAGTTTTATGTAACATTTCGACCAAAGTTTTTTAAGTAATTTAACCCAATATACTTTAAAAAAGTTAGACATATAATTTTACAGTACATTTCGCTGGCTCAATAACAAAGAGACATGAAATAAATTTAAAAAAAAAATTGTGAAATTTTATCTTGCTGACTGTACCATTTTTTACATAATCACAAATATTCAACAACAATCAAAATTTAGTGAAAATATATGGACTTCTAGGATCATTTTCCTTTAGCTAAGACGGTTAATGTAGGTAGCTGCACTTCCAGTCACAAATTTCCACCCTGTATAAGGGCTGATAAGTTACTGTTGGTCCTTGAAATGGTGACGTATCAGCAGTAGTATAGCTACAGCTTATTTCTCAACTTGTAATAATGTTTTTTTTATTCATTATGGGTTATCTGTTTTTATAGAGTGGTCGTTCCAAGTCATCTGTGGCGTCGTCGTCTGTGAGCGCTGTCTCAGTCCGCTCGGCAGGGGGCTCTGGCGAGTCGAGTCCCGACGTGACGTCACGCGCCGCCCCTCCGCGCCCCCTTCATGATCACAGCGACGACTCGAGCTTGAACTCCGTGGACTTGGACCCACTTGGTGAGTAGACTGACTATTGCTGTCAAAACTGGTTACTATCATTACAGGTTATTGTCATTAATTGGTGACTGGCACAGTGATCACTGTCAATTTTGATGACTAATTCTCATTGTGGGCTCAATCACTATTAGTTACGGACATTTATTGTTTATTGTTTACTGTTATTATTATTAACGTTTTCTCCCTTTGGAAGAAAAAAGACGCAAGCAACAAATTGAAAATTCCAAGATAAACGAGTTTAAACATTTTGTTGGTTTTTTAATAAAAAAATAGTTAATTTTTATACATTAAAAATTTATTAAGTAACTTTGGCTGTAATTTAATCAGCTATTTTTAAAGAAAAACTTAATTTTCTTTTTTAACAAGTATATGAAGAATTTTTAACTGCATATAAAAGTATAACTAACTTAAAAGTGACTTTTAATACTTATAGCAGAAGTAAAGGGCACATTCCGTACATTGCTAAGTAAAATCCTTTAATCTAAGTGTCTTTCAAATTTAAAGACATGAAATTAAATATTCGTCAAATATCACTTTTTATAATAATAAATAAACCTGATTATAATTTATGTTATTTGTGCCTTTTCGACTTACAGTATGTCCAACAATTATTGAGATAGATTTCTACAAAAATATGAATAGATTGGCCTTTTTTCCTGATTCATTTTTGGATTGGTCACTGTCATTTCTGATAACTGTCATTTTTGTTCACTATCATATTTAGTGTCTGTCATTACTGTCAATAATAGTCTGTTACTGATTGGTTAATTATAACTAAATGTACTTACCCTTATGGTGAACAAACACTCAATATACAGTCGTTAACATTCACAAATAGAACTATAGATAATTAGGTAACTCAACTGTCGTTTAACCCCTTTTACTTTTCAACCGACAACATATATTACTATCAATATCGTACAAAAAGACTGTTTAATATGACAGGGGTTCGATAGCAGCTATATCTTTATCCATAAAATTCATGTAGAGTCGTATGTATATAGAATTTTAACATCTCTTACCCAAAATGTTTGTTTAAACCTTATATACACTTTTATATAGTAGATAGTGGAATCAATATCCACACGACGTGCTTATACACTACCAGTTTTTAAGTTCCTCTCAGACCTAGTTTAGCTAGTGTCGGGTAATGGAAAAATTTCCATGTTTTGAAAATTTTCGGACCTTCACACAACGCTAAGTTTTGCTATGACCGCTAACTAAGCCATATGTCAGCTTGCACTGGAAATGTATAACCGACGCTGTGGGCGTGTGTACCTAAATTAAAATTGTTGAATGTATTTTTCTGCCCAAATAGACGACAAGGACTGGCTGAGTTGTGGTAAAGCAACAGGTTAGTCCTGTAGCGGTGTAGAGTAGAACAATGTAGAAAATTAGTTTCACCATTGTAGCATGAATGTCAGCACACTGTAGCTTATCCAGTTATGTGATTAGATCCGTTCGTTAACTATAACATGCATTGCCTAATTTTATGAGTGTCTTAAAATCAGTGTCTTGAATAAATAATATACATTTTAATTCAATAAAAAAAAAATGTTTACTTTGTCTGAAAATATTGACATCGTTTTTAAAAGAAAAATTACTTTTCTGGTGATCTATAGAAAACCAATTACGTAATTTTGATGCTTCCTGTTTTTTAATCATAGTCCGCTATTCTGCCATAGAGCTCTATGACGAAATAGTAATACTTTTACGCAATTTGAATTTGGCGTCAAAACCACGTTACAACATTTTTATAGATACGTTAAAAACAGTATCAATTGCAATGTTGTCTCCATATACATATTATAGTTACGTTTACATTGGTGTAGTAAGTACGGCAGTTGAATAAGGAATATCAATTAATATTGATTACACGGTTACAGGAGCAGTGTACGTAGACAGCGATACGGGACTAGAGTCAATGTCATCAGCGGAAGCGGGCGCGGCGAACACGCGCGGCGAGCCGCTCGTCACGCAACGCGCCGACGCTGAACAGCTGCGGCAGGAAGTCTGTCGGCTCAAAAATGACAAGCTTGATCTGTTGAAACAGAATATTGTAAGTTGTATAAACTCGTACTATGCCTCTACCATGAGATTACTGTGACTGTTATCGCTAGCGACAGCGTAAAATGTTTTTATGCAAAATGTTGGTTCTTTTTGTAACCACTAGGGGCGCTGTATAATTTGCCATGCAAAATTGTGAGGTAATTTACGCGGCCGCTAGCGACAACTGTCACAGTAAACTCGTCGTAGAGGCACTGGTGTCAAATACAAAACATATGCAGACCATGTGATCAATATTTTTTAAGGTATGGTAAGGTAAGGTCAGGTGTGGTACGGAGTGGAGGAACATACTTTATTTTGAGTCAAATGTTTTGAGCTCTAGGAAGAACGTAGAATATAATAAGTATAAGAATTTTGAATTCATTACTCTAGCAAAAATCTTTAAAAATCTAGCATCAAAAGAAACGAGTTTAGAATTTGTTATGGACGGATAATTGTTTTTGCCTTTTACTGAAATAATCTAATTCTGAACTTACTATACCTTTATTTAATGAAACATATTTTCTATTTCTTTTCCAGAACTGGCAAAACGAAATAAAATTCCTACGAGAGAGAGAGATGACGCTACAAGCCGAACTAGCTGCCGCAGCACGTGAAGTTAGAAGACTTCGCGAACAGCAAGGAGGCACTATTATACCAAATCCATCGACACATGATTCCACTGCTTGAAGTATTGAATCTTATTATAATTATAATACGGAATAATTTGGAAAAATCACAGTTAAAATCTCGATATGTTAGCGTAAATGTAAGACGTATAAAGTCCGTAGAGGTTTTTTCAATAACGTGCCTACCTAATCGTCAACTATTAATATAACATCTTTATGTATCTAACTCCGTGTAATCTAAACCAGATCTTGGTGACATTACATTACGAATGTTTTTCACAAAATGTAGTACGTGTTTAGTTTCTTGCGAATTGTTTTCTTAATATATAGGTCGCAATGGAAAATATATTTTATGTAAAAATGGAGCAAGAGGCTACGCAAGGTCCTAATTATTATCTGTCATACTTTAAACGTTGCTAAGTTTGAAACCGAATGTATAAAGCAACTGTTTATATAAAAAAAAAATTGCTATTCTTAACTACACATTTTTTTCCAAGACTGAGTAAAATGACGTTGTAATTTCACGTTTCTTCGTAAAACATAAAACATTGTAAACAGTCATATACTTTTTGTATACAGTTTATCAACAGATTGTGTTTGAGGATAACATTTTGCAGGAACTTATGAATAGTGAATGTTATGACATTTTAATGATTAATTATCACCAACTTTCTTTTTCGATACCGGTTTGTATCGAAATCATACTGCGGAATGATCTGATCATTCCAAGATGACGTTCGAACACATTCCAATCACTAACTGCTTCAAAACTGGCAACTCTTTTGCACACTAAACCATAAACTGCATCTTGGAAAAAATATTGTAAAGATATGAATAGCTGATTTTTGTTTTGCAATTTCTACGGAATTGTAGGTACAAAAAGTTGTTTACTTAAGAGGACGTCAGCTAGTAAATATAGGACCTTATGTGTTACTGTGTATGTGCTGCTGGATTAGGAAATTCAGCCGCAATCAAAGTAACAAGTTGAAAAAACCTTTTAGTAACTGAGATCAGGGTACACGATCCTGAATCGCGTATATTTGTTTTTTCAGACAGACGTGATCATGGGACCTGGGGATCCACTCCCATTATCCGTTCAACATTCGTCCAAAAACATTACTGTTAAGTAAGTAATACTCAATCAAGTCAAAAGACTTTGGTCAAGTATTACTTGTTTGACAGTAATTGTTCGGACGGATGTCCGAAAAACAAATACATGCGACTTATATCCGAAAAACAATTCATTTTCAATCAAACGCTGCGATAAATTACTCATGACTTAGAAGAAATACTTAAAAACCTATCAAAGCAAATATCCTAAAATGATAATGAATCTCCTTTAAGAATAATTAATATACGTAGGCATCCTTAATGTGCCCCTACTTTAACTTTCAAATAACTGATTTTTGCACCGAAAATTCGCTTTTTATAATTTTCTAAAAATATTTAATTTATTACGGATTTCAAGGTAGTATGAATTTTCATACAAAATATTTTATTATATTTCGTGCTAAGTACATAAAGAATGACTACGAAATATCTATTACCACTAATAAAAAACGTAGAAACCCAAAAGTACGTATTGATTTTCACAAGAATTTTCCAGAAATATTGCACACTGACTAGTTTAAAAAAATATTGACTGGCAATAGCGGGTATCCATAATTATTTTTACTGAGTACCTAAGTAAAAAAAAATCTCAGCCCATATTATTAATGCCCAATAAAAAAAAAATTAAGTGCTCCATACAACGGCGTTTCGAAGTGTTCTCAAATGGTTTGTAGTGCTCATAACCATAATTATACGTTAATGTATCTATTATAAGTATCTATTATATTTAGCACTGGATTTGACTGAAAAAAAAACACTATGCTTAAAATTTCTAATTTACTATATCGCTTGTACAAACTTCACATAATATTTGAGCAACGGTTGTTGACTCAATCATATTTGTAATTGCTTGTAATTAATATACAAAGAATATGATACCAATCTTTCTCTACTGAAATGACATACTGTAAATGTAGGCTTAGCTTTCATAAATGTTGTGATAAAAGTAGCTTACAACATCGCCTGCAATGCGTGCACAACAATAAACAAAATTGCATTATTAAAAAAAATTATAATCATCAAAACTATTAAAATATATTCGAAAGCATTTCTTTGTGTTCAATTAGCAAAATTATTAAAATTGAAAAATATTATTGACTTTTTCACATATAAAAGAAATGTAGAAGAAATTTATGTAGAGATTTTCTATGTTATATAACTTATTTTATATAGGGTCGGTCTTTAGACTAATTATATAACTTTGCTGATATAAGAAAATAATCTTGATTTTGTTACATTTTCATTACATTCGAAGAATATATCGCACAAACTGTAAACATTGTACAAGTGACAAAGGTTCTTGGTCGAGTTTATTTATCATAAAGTTATAATAATTAGATAACTGAAGTTAAGACATCTTTTCTACGTGTGATAAAAATCTCTTTATATAAAACTGTACTGAATGTTGTAGTATATGTGTATCATCTAAAGTAATTTCTTTACTGTGTTTGGAAATGCATAATAATGCTATTTTTGTCTACAAATACTTGAAAATAAAACTTTTATTGTGTTTCAAACTTTGGACTTGTATAAAAAAGTATACACAAAATAAATATAATACCAGCTCTCGTGTATAAACAAGTATTTGTAGAGATTTCTGAACACAAATGGGTGTGGCATGGTTAATTTGCTCTACCTCATTTTGGTGGCAATTTTTATTATTTAAGTATTCGAATAAATTATCGTGTAATATTGAATTATATTTCAGGTTACTACACTCGAATATTAAATAATAGAAATTGCCACCGAAATTAGGTAGATGAAACTAACCTCAAAATTACCCAAATAGAAGTTTAACAAATTAACGGTACCTACTAAATTAAGCCTTGATATCTGTTAGGATGCCTATTCATAATTGTAATTATGGTGCATTAGAAAATTATATAACTGATTTTAATATCTTATAGTATATTACATGTTAGTTCGTTTCACAACGGTGTTACTAAGAGTTCTCGTAAATTTAGGGAGCACGGATTTAAAAGTTATAATTCGAACATGCCTTTAAAATAAAGGCAAAATACATTTTTGGGAAAAGTCAACAGATATCATTGAACTGTATCTCTTAGTTGCACTCGTAAGAATTCCCAGTAAGATTGTATTTATATTTTCATAATTTAGCGACACTTTAGTTTTTGTTTTTACCGCACAGTGCAATTACTCTCCGCGAAATACCCACGTTTACGTGTTTCCTTTTAAATGTAAACAAATTTTAAGTTAACCAGTTACTGTAAATATAATTTAAACTGGACATAGGCTAATGTTAAATCAGTATTTTTCTTAATTTATGCTTGATATAAGTATCGTTTCACGAGTGTCTTTGAGTTTGATTATGTTTTGTTGTTTTATGTAATAATTTTATACCAAAGTTAACATTCCCCACTAAATAGTATAGAATTTTTATTCATGATGAACCAGTATTCCGTGTCTTAAGCATGCTTAACGTACAGTCTGCGCGTGAGTTGATGGCTATAATGTAGGGAAAGGGAGGAGGCAATACCCCTTCTTGTCTAACTCCCCTGTTGTGGTCAAAATTCTGACTTATTTTTCTTACCATTCCTAAAATGGCTAACAACTAGCGCACATGTTATCTAAAATATTTCTAATTTTACATTTATTGAATGTAATCTATTAGAATGTTTCGACTGTTGATTTATCATAGGTTAATTGACACTACACTGTTGATTCGTCTTTTCTTAGACTTAAACCAAATATTGCGTGCGCGGAGCGTTAGAGGATATAGTTTATAATGTAAGAGATACTATTGAAATATATAATAGTTAATACTAAATAAATATTGTTGTTTTATTAATAATAATAACGCACACACTCATAGCCCCGCACTTGGGAAACCCTGTATCGCGGGTGACACGTCGACAACCCCAAATGACATCCAAATTCACGAGAGAAATAAATGTACACCATACAAATTTTTCTCCCGGCCTGTCTGGGAATCGAACCCGTGACCTCTGTGTGGCAGACCAGGACGGTGACCGTTAGGGCGCGTTTCCATTATGTCGTGACGACAGATAGTCGTGCAGTTTAAAGTTTTGTGGCTTGAATATTTAAATTAAGTTGTTTACATATAGTAAAACACGATGAACTGTCGTTCACGACTTCCTTGACGTTACGACGACAGATTGTCGTGACAATGGGAAAAGCTAGAACGACAGTTGGCAGATGATAAATAAAACGTCATGATAAAAATGTGACGACAGATAATCGCAGCTTCAAACGACAAGGCGGCTGCCGTGAACCGTGCCGTGAAATTGTCGTCACGATCTAGTGGGAACAGTTAGACACGACACTCGTTCTACGATAAAATATACATCCACGATACAGTCACGACAGATAGTGGTGATATGGGAACAAGCTAGACGCGACAACTGTCGGACGATAAATAAAATGTTACGACATAATGGGAACGCGCTGTCAGGCCACGGCGGCAGTTACAAATTACATTTTCTGTTGTGTTATTATCTAATATCTCAACAAAACAATTCAACCACACATATTACTACGTCAACCCTACAAGAAATTAAAAAAAAAACATTTCTGTTAGGTACACCATCTGTGGATAGTTTCACGAACTTTTGTTTCAAATTTATGTTTAATGGTAAGGGTTTGAATCATAGAGTAGACTTTGGTGTACTGAATGTTACGTTTACAAAAACAAGAGGGCGCTACTATGCAATATCTAACAGCATTATAACGTTCTCTCTACAAAATTTTAGATAGCTTGTAAGTAGTTAATTTCATTACTAATTAGAACAACAAGTATTTTCAATATCTAAGTATGTTACGATTCAATTTCAGTGTTTCCAATTGTTATATAATGCTTTATTGATAGGTACTGTAGATACGCAAGCAGAAGCGTTGACAATTAAAAAATGGTACGTGCAACATAGAGGGCAAAGTACCTGGTGGACGAAATTCAAATGATGAATGTGACCAGGTAGCTGAATATTTGGCAGTACCAGTGAATGTTGCACTCCACCTTACCGAAAAGTGGAGAACATTTAATGACGGTGTATTTGCTCAAAGTCACGATCCTCAGCAGAGCATAAGGACTGTAGATTCAGAAATTGACGTTCATAATAATCATACATGAACTAAGTTAGAAACTGAGAAGTTATTCTTTGATTTTTATAACACACTGCTGTGAATATTACGTATCTACTATTGTAGACTATAAAAATAGGTCTTCTTTTTCTCACGTATAAAGAATGTGAAACGATACATGTGAAACAATAGGCAAGACAAACATTATTTGCATTCAATTCTGCAGAATAAATGGATTTACGGTTAGCTTCTAGAAGCGCAGGATGATGTGAGTTAGTTATGTAACGGAAGTATCATAACGGAAACAGAAACAGAAATGGATAGCAAAAGTAAATTTTTGCAAAAATGGAAGCGGATGCGG